ATTATTCTTATTACAACAGAATGTTTTAATAATTTTAATTAAAATGATGAATTGTGAAATGTAAATAAAAATATATTTTGTATATTTTAAAACAAACATTATATATGTATATATATAATATAATATATAATATAATTTACAACAATTTATATACAAACATATATATATATATATATATATATATATATATAAAATACCTTTAAGTTCCTTTCTTCTAATGAAAATAATATAATCCAAAATCTTCTGAAAACTAGTATAACTAATTCTGAGGCCATTGTCTCTTAATATTCTCGCATCGTTATTTTAATATATAAAATCAATATAATTAGTAAAAAATACTGATATCTGAACAGCTTGAATCTGAAAGAAGGAGAGAAGTGAGGAGAGAAGTGAAGAGAGATCGCGAAGAAGAAAAGACCTAATGACAGAGAGGGCTATTTTAAGACCTTGCGACCGGTTTGTGCGAGTCATAAAGAGACTTGCCTACATCCCTGTTCCGCAAGTAATCCGTCTTGACGACCAAAAATTTTTTTAGAACACGATACATTTGAGTTTCATTCGTACAAGAAATTGCGCGAAGAGAAATACGTTGAATAATTGCGTCGAAATTAATTTTCCTTTATTTCCAGCCACAATAGTGACAGAAATATCTTGAGAAATACTTGATCCTTCATGCAACATATACATATACAAATAAAGTATTCGAAATATTTTAAATAACTTTTTAGCTAATTTTTGACATTCAATTATACTGTCTGACAAAATTTGACTTTTTTTCTTTTTTCTTGTGTATAAAATCATTTTCGATATATTCTTGCCTGTTGAATCCGGTACTCAAATTTGGCTATCAGGACAGAATTTTAAGAAAAACGACGTTAGAAAGATAAAAACGATGATTTTGAAAGTTTTTATAATGTTATAGCAACAAATATTTTTGTTCGTTTCGATATGACTTTGTATTTTATAATTATATCATGCTAAATAAAAAAAGCAGTATGAAATTGACAAAAAGAAGCTATTTCTAAATTACTATATTTTAAAAACGAAAAACAGAAGAAGTTTGAAGTGACAAAAAATTATATAGAAACAAAACAATACATTTTAAAGCTAAAAGTTTATACTTTAGCTTGATATTAACGATAATTAAAGATAAATAAAAATTATTAAAATCGTTGTTTTTTACCTCTTTAACACTATTTTTTTCAAAATTCTGTCCTAATAGCTAAATCTGGATAATATATTCAGCACACAAAAATACATTGGAAATTATTATTCATATACAAAAAAAAGACGGATAATGTTGGATTAATGTATTTAATAGAATAATTCTGGAAGATTAAAAAAAATTGTGTAGGGAAGAGTGGTCTAAATCGGACCTATTTACAATTTTTGCTCTCTATAAGGCGTAAATAAAGTCCGATCGTAAAATCGAAGGTGCCATTGGAAAGATCATTTAATTCCCTTCATTTTTGCTTCAGACCATTTTGACGTGTGTTAAACTATAATGGAAAATGTAAAAACGCTTTTTCCGGTCCGATTTGGAACCATCGGTTCCAAATCGAACCATCGCCTGGTTCAAATCGAAAACTCCTATTTTTATGGATTTTTAAATAGAATTTTAAAATATTTTAATGTATTTTTCTTAGTATTGAGTAAAAACGAGCAATTTAACAGTCAAAGATAAAAATTTTTTCGGAAAAAGAAGTTACTGACTGTTTATATTAGTAAAATTGAAATCAATATAAAATTCAACTAATCTGAGTCTGATGACTAATGATATTTTACTGATTTAAATGGTTGGACCAGATATGGTCAGCCGATCACAAGTACTACAACCAAGCCTATAAATTATTCACTATACTGTCTGATTTGGATACGGGTCCTTTCGAACTTTGAACAAATTTTACAATAAACCAAAAGTAATCACAAAAAGCTTGATTTTTTTTAATTCTACACTTTTTAATTATCTTGAATCAATTACTTTTCAAATTTTTAACACTTTTTAAATAAAGATTTACAAGGATTTTCTTTTTTAAAAAAATTTTCGCACAATGGCTGAAAATACATATTTACGTCTATTTTATGAATATTATGATAGAGAACTGTCAAACTGCTATCACATGTTCGGTGTCTTATAAGAACTTTACATTATAAATAGTACGCAAATCTACTTAACCGTATTCATTTAAATTAAAAAGGTCCTATTTAGAACACGGTCCGATTTAGATCACTCTCTCCTATATTATTATATTATTAGAAATAAAAATAGTTTTTTCATGTATAAAGTGATAATTATTACTTATCATTAATTCTACGAATTGTTATAAATTGTAAATTATTATGCATTCTCTTGTTACAAAATAGTTTGATAGTAATGAAGAGACCAACCATACCACTCAGAGTTCAAACCCATCTTGTAATGTTTAACAACGATAACGTTGACAGCAAGATTCTTAATGAATCGCACGAGATGACGTATAACAAAAGTTATCAGTAAGTTACGTTGATTAAATAATGCAAACATTGGTATCAAACGGTGTTAATACAGACTCATAATGTTGACAGTCTAAAGCATAAGATGATAAAAGATTCAAATCTGAGTAATGTTTCCGGTTCTGATTTTGAAATTTTTACTTGAAAATACTAAAACCTAAAAGCAGAATATTTAGTCTTTTCGGAAATTATATAATTTCCAAAAAGAGTAAAATGTTCCGTTTTTAAGTTTTAACTTTTTCAAGCAAGAGTTTAAGAACACTTTGTAGCACGAGTTTAAAGATGCGCAATAAATAAACATTTTTTAAATTTATACTATAAATACACGACTTTATGTATAACATATTTATGAACAATAAATTTGTTTGTTTAATTAATCACGATTATATTACAATTAAAAAAGGATACATGATTTCAGCTTAGCAGTTAAATAGCAATTACATTTGTTTTTAAAAGCAGAAAGATAATCGCATAAAATTGTAAGAAAAATCAATTCAGATTAACAGTCTCTTTAAAAATAATGGATGATTTGTACCACTTCTTTACACTTGAAAGAAACTCTGCAATTAGCTCAACGAATGAAACGACTATCTTTTCAGATAATATCTATTTTTCGAGATTTGTGATAACTCAGGAAATCAATCACATGAATTACATAACGCAATTAAGATTGAAACTTTCTACATTACTCACTAAGCACGTTCATCGAAATGATCGTCTGGTTCCGCCAGCTTGGATAGATTTTATGGCGAATTGTGAAGGGGACAAGCCAATGCTGATTTTTCGTGATGACTTCCGCGAATAAGTCTTTCGTAGAGAAATCGCGAGATTGCAATGCAACGAGAGACTTTCATAAAGTCCCCGGACATTGTTCGGGAAAATATTAAAGTATCGAAAATTCCATTTCCTTCAAAATAAAAATGTCACATTACTTCCAGCTGGAATACTGTGAAAACAAGATGACGCCAGAATTTAATCTTAAACTAAATCGAACTCTCGATAATCTTATTTATTTTTGTTCCGCATTTAATTTCCCTGTCATGTTTGCTACTCGAAATATCTGCTGTTTTCACCAACAATATTTTTCATTCTGAAACGTAGAGTAAACAAGTTCTTTGTCCAGTCTCTTCTGTCAAAAAGACTATGTATTATATGGAAAAACAAACTACGGTTAAATATTTTTACTTAAATATTAAATAAAGTTTTGTGGCAAGATTTAACTGTTTGAGCTAAAAAACTTTATAGCTCTTTGTTTGCTAATATTATTTTTATTGATGCATTCAGAATCTCGTTTACACATATGCGTCATATCTACAAGGAATTATCGTTATTTTTGCAAAATACTGTAATCATTATAAAGAACCGTTATCTAAAACGATAATGTTTCTCGTCTGGTGAACGACAAAAGATTTCCGCGAACCCAGATTATGACTTCAATGCCATTGACATCCCAAAATATTTACTTAAATGGCACGTGTTTATTCGAGACTTTTCACTCAAAATCGAATTCACGTGTCAGGTGCTTATATAACACAGTAACAGATTGATAACGATATGATCTAAGATGAACAGTATATCATCACGAACTATTTATATTCATGTAATGTGATAATTTAAAATCATTCATTGCAACATTATTATTATTATAACTGCGTATTATGGCACCTAAAATCATTTGGCGATACAAATTAATTATGATGTCATAAAAGTTTAACATTACGCGACATGACAGGTGAAATGGTCAGTTGAAGGCATTGAAACGTTGGAAGGCGTAATTTTTATCGAATTATTGGACATTATTGAGAATTAATAAAATATTCAGATTGCACCTCTTTCTCTCTCTTTCTCTCTCCTTCATATTATCTTAATCGTAATTTTTGTCCATATATTGGAGGCCAGCCAGAACCATGAATACATATATTATTACGAAAGTTACTGCAAATTGGGTATTAATATTTGGAATTATTGCATGTACCGGTCATTATGGCGTTAAAGTATCGTTTACTTATATTTCATCGCGCAAGTTTTCTCGAGCAGTGTGAGACATGTTTTTACGACTCCGCGACGATCGTTTAATGATTATTAACTGCAATTGATGTACGAATAAGTCATTCAAAATGATTATCAGTGAAATTTATTTGCCAAATAATTAAGAGACATAAATATGAAACGAATGATGGCGAAATTTATATTCCCGGTCGCGTCGCAAATTCTTTCTCTCTCTTATTTGATGTATGACGTTACTGAAAGCGCATGATGCGTTATAATGAAAATATTATCATATATTTATGACGCTAAATTCATACGTGATTCATTCAGTTAGCAGTTGTACATTCTGATAAGATTTCTCTGAAAATTTATGTATCTCACTTTCGCGCTTGTCTCAATTAGTTTTTCAAAAATTAAATTCTCGGAATATTCACTCAGAGATTGCTACAATGAGTACGTGATCGTTCGCAAAACAACGGGTACTCACGTGCGAATGATCAAACAATCGCGATAAGTACCTGGACTCCGGTATGAAAATATTCCACCAGGATGGCCTCTTCTGTCGCGGATAATTTGGCGAAAAAAGTCCCTCTGTGCTGCCAATCTCCGAAGGCACACCAGAGGGAATACCAGACACCACGCCCTTCCTTCTTTTCCGATCCAGCTTGGGCGGCTTGACGAGTGGATGCCAGGATTTCCGGCGTGCCTTTTTAGCCTCCTGAGCCAAGCGGTCACGGTCTTCGTTCTCCAATACTTCCTGATTCTCCTCCAGCAGATCCTCAGACACGTAGAACACCGAGCCTCTCCTGCCACTTTCGCTGCCCCTCCTTTTATCCTTTGTCTTCTCCTTCACGTTGCTATCCTTGACGTCGATCTTGATGTTGTCCTTAGCAGTGTCCTTGGAACTATTCTCCTTCTCCTCAAACATGCTGACCCTACGAGCCCTTTGGATCAGGCTGTCTCGTCGAGCTTTCAGATCCTCGAGAACACTGTGCCGGCGAGTCTTTGTGTCCCGCAGGATCGCTGCGTTCTCGCGATGCCTTCCGACGGCGCCGAGGATCCTCGCCAGCGACGACTCCTGCTCCATCATCGCCGGGATGGAGTTGGTCGAGGCGTATTTGGTGGTCGTATGACCGTTCTGCGGTTCGCTGATGTACATCTTGGCTGTTTCCATACTAACTGGAATGGCCACGTCCATATGACGAGCGGTTTATAGTCGCGTAATGCGCATCACAGAAAGCGTCGGAAATGTCGAGTTAGTATCTTGTATCGAGGTCACCGAGGGTCAGCTCGCGTCTAGATTAAGTATTTACTGACTATGTACCGAGAAGACCGTTGTGAAAGACCGTTGGCTTTCTGTTGATACCGCTAACGTCGGGTTAACGCCTTACAGCAGCAAGGCCGTTGAAGATCGAACGAGGATAAAATAATCACATCGGATGGATCGCTCTCTTCTGCGAAGTCGTTAATATCTCACGCGGGAGACATTCTTGAAGGTCGGATGACGTAGGAAATATATTCGCTAATCTTACGAGACGACTACCGAATAGTCTCAATGGTGTTGACCGAATAATTTATAATAATGGCAGAGAGAGATCAGCACACAAATGATTAGGTCAAAATTTAAAAAACTCGATCGTTTAAATATCAAAAGAGTAAAGTTTTTAACTAGTCTCTTTCACTAATGTACAGAGTATGGATCGACTTTATTTTGTCGTCATCTTGCGCCACGAAATTACAAACGATAGGCAATTAAGAGATTAAAAACGTAATAATTTATAGCAGACAAAGTCGTCGAAAAGTATGACATTCACGATTAAATATTTACGGATCGAGTATCCATCATATCCACCAGATTCCATAGATTCCAAGTATTCACGAGCAAAGACGTGCCACGAGAGTCAGCTACGATCTTTTACCGCTGTCTATTTAATATCATACACTGGCCGTTGATGGTTACGCTGCGGTGTTGACAAATTCCAAAGCGTCGCAGAGGGAATAGATTCTCTCGTGAAGTTTGTCGATTTGGCTCGTGTATATCCGGTCCAGGTTACGCGGAATTTCTTAAGATTTGCACAATTTCTCGCCAGTTGCACCAAATTGGACAAGCTTATCGCCTTTAATCGAACGTAAACGATTTACGGTGAAGAAATATTATCCGGCGACAGTTATCGATGACTTTACGGCTGTCATTCTCACAGAGATAAGACGAAGGTACAGCGACACGGAGCGTTAAAGCGCGATCAACGGCATTATTCCACCGGCGCGGCGCGGCCTGTCAGGTGAAAGCAGCTGAACGGTCGACCGCCTTTTCACTCCCGACGCCGACGACGCCGTCGCGTCGATGCGGTCACTCTCGCGAAACGCGTGCTACCTACGTAGGAGTACGCCAATGCGTGTGTGCGTACGTGCTCTTGATCTGCGGATACGCCCGTGGAGAGGAAAACGCGTTGGGATCTACGCCGATCGTTGACCCACCTAGAGAGATCAGTGTTTATTTATTTTTATTATTCATTTAGTCCCCTCTGTACCTGGCGCGAAATGCTCCGTTTTTAGACACCTAGCGATCCGATTGACCAATTTCACTTAGATTTTCGAAAATAGAGGGATTTTTCTATATAAGCGAATTCTCGTTTCGGCCGCTTCTCGAAACTTTGTTCGTTCCGTCTTCACCTCGACCAGCCCTCGCCTGCCGAGGGCGGCAGGGACGAGACTTCGCTGTTTCGCATCACGCTCGGCGACGATAATGTAAAGACAAGCTTCTCGGGGATAGGCATAAGACCTTTTTTTCAAACCCCTTTTCCTTTCTTCTCCGTGCGCTTCTCTCTGAACACACGCGTGATTAAGACACTGGATGATCGGAGTCGGGCGAAGAAGAGCCGCTCTTTCTCGCGTCCTCTTTATTATTTTCCCTTCGACTCGCTCTCGTTATCAAACTGCACGCACGCAGGTACGTCACGCACACGCACGCAATACACGTCGAAAGCGTATACAGAATACACGGGAGAACGTCGGACGAGACTTTGATAGCATGGATCGAAGACGAGCTCGATCAACGGCCGCCACGTTGAATCGAGTATCGTAGCAACTAAGCGCGAGCGAACGCGACCGCTTGTATTTATACGCGTGCCGCATTGCCCGCCTCGCACGACTGTCTCTCTCTTTCGCGGCGCATCCCCCACCCCGAGTCGCGACGAACGCGTGTACGAGTCGTACGAGAGGATACGCACGAAATCTGGCCGATCCTGATTCTCGTTTCGGGAAGAAGAAATCTGTAGATGATTATGGCCGTCAGTTTATAGGGTTCTTTGATCCAGCTCGGGTAGCGGTTATTTTTTCACAAGATTTCATAAAAATGTCAGAAAGTGGCGTTTAAATTTTATAAACGTTTCTTAAATGTCTCTTATGGATCCAGGGTGAGTCTTTTGAAGCGTAGGAGTATTAACATGTCGTTTTTAACGATACAGTTGCCTATTTTAGGATTTATCTCTTTTTTACGAAGGTCACAAGTAACTTTAATTTAAGTTTAGATATGTACGGTTATATGGCGCAAAGTGCGATATAAACACAAGCTGTTAAATATTTATTGCGTTTTTAAAAAGACTTCAGACGCTAAAAAAATTCAATTGCTTTGTAGACTTGCCTGTTTTCTGCGTTAAAAATGAAAGGTTATACAAAATTCAATAATCTTGTCGAGCAAAAACTTTAGAAAATTAAATTTAAAGTTAACTATTTGGTAAATTGAGTTTAATCCTAATTGGTATTCGTTCCAGAATTTTTTTAACTGATATTCGGGTCCAGTGTAATGTAAATTATTGTATCTTTGCTTAAAGGTAATGTATTCTCTGATTGAATGATTTTTTTCATTTTGAAGATCAAATTCGAGAACTAAGATTATGTAATTCGAATTTATGTCAGGCTGTGAAAAGAATTTGTTATAAACAATTTTTCACAATGTATATAGTTGAAGGGAAGAAAATTTCGGAGCGATTACAGTTAAGATAAACTATGGTCGATACGAAGCCACCATACATATAATTCATTGTTGGAAAATATGTGATTAATTTCTGCATTATCTATATATAAATTATGGAACAAAGTTAAAGAGATATTAAGAAATCTATTTATAGAAGAATGTAAGAACTATAGCTGTAAAATACAATTATAAAGTTTAGATAATCAAACATTTTAAAATACTACGAATTTTTATGAATGAGTATAAGATAACCACAATTAATGATAGTAGATTAAACTTTGATTGTATTTGCAGATAAATTTCAAAATTTTTTTTATGTTCCTAGTATAATCAAGTTTCGTCTTGTTGGGTTTTTGTATAATTTTTTTAGACATTCTTAAACTTACATACCGAGGGCTTTTAAAATCACATTGTGTAAATTCACTTTAACAAGATAACTAAATCAAGTTAATCAATGTGATAGTAGAGATCCGAGATTGTGATAAAAAAAAATAAGACGTAATAACAATTTTAATACCACACACACACACAGTAAAAGATATATCGATAATTTCGTTGAAATTATTATTGCACAAGAAATATCACAGATTGATTTATAGAAGGAAAAGCGTTTGCTTGCATTATTTATGATCTTATAAGTCCGTCTTTGCAAATTTAAAGAGATAAATTTTCTCTCTTTTCAATTTCAGATTGAAAAGTATGGCAATAATACATAAATAAACTCACTGAAATAAATATATTCATTGTAATATTTACACAATAAATATTATGACACTATGATACGTGCTTTTCATCATAAATTTGTTAAAATAAATTTTCATTATTTTCAGGAATGACAAGATTATGATTGATAATAATGATAACGGTCGTAAAATACACGGAGTATCTATATAGAAGTAAAGTATAAGCAGATAAACAATAATTTATAACTTATTCTAAAGATAAACAAAGCGAAAAAAGTTGTATAAATGATAAGTCAATTAATTGCAACATATTTTGCTACTTAGGGATAAAAATCGAGAAAAAAATAGAAAAATATATTCCAAGAATCTCGATCGTATCCGAGTATCAACGTTCGAATGTCCCTATATTCCTAGATATCGCGTTCAAACAGCCACTTAAAATTGATTACACAATTCGCGATATCAGACTGCCATTTAATTCACGGTCGGCCGCGAGATATTTTTTCCGGCAATCGCCATACATCTTGGCGCTCCGCTCTTGACCCGGTTCTAGACCAAGATCAAGAGATTGACCACACCCGCTTGTTTATTCGACATTTACTCAGATTTACTTATAGGGGTTGTTGTATCCTGCGGCGCACGTCATGCCAATAGTTTTCGTGAGTGTAAATAAATAAGCATGCACCCAAACAGATTCTGCATTTAAATAAACTTTTCTCTTCCATCTTTGTATACATCTCATCGAAATATAGGTATACTTTCATTATTTAATGACTAGAATTTTTTTATATTGCAATCACATCAGTAATTATTTTATGTTGCATTATTTGTATAACATATTTTTTTATTATATCAATATTTTATTATTAATTAAAAAGCCAATGTAAATAAATATTTTATTATGTAAGTAAATAATCTTCTAAGACATTAATGATTGCTATATATATCAATGTTGGTAAGTTTGGCCAACTTTATACTCTAGTTACGTTCGTATCAAGGCGCAGCATCCCCTTTTACTTTTTGTTTTGTAAGAATTGAATTAAATAGAGCAAGAAAGAGAAATTACCTAAAAGTACGGTGAAATTTACAGTTCTGCAAATTAACTGCTTTCCATTGCACTAATTAAAAAAACTTTGACGTAACATATTCGTTAGATACCATGAAAAATAAACTTTAGGCAAACAGCTTTTTATTTACCAGATTAAACTGTCAACTGTAGAATGAAGAAACAATTTCCGAAGATCCTCTCGTAAAGTGTCCGTTATCCCGTATTTTTTATTCAAGTTTTAATTACAACACAAATCTGTTTTCGTAAAAGAATCTGAAAAAAGAAAAACTTTATTAATCGACTTCCGAAGGTAGCAATTTAAATATACAATGCTTGTCGGGCGCAAGAAGGACACTATCTTGGGCAGAACAAAGAGCGCGACGTTGTTTGTCGCAGAAATTTTCTCGACGAGCGAGAGGCAAGAAGCGTATTCAGCCTCCACGGACGGACAACGGAAGGGCTCTAATTGGCTGAATCAAATTAAGAGTCCGGTCCGTGTTTTCATCGTTGCCAATTTCGTAATTGGATACGCGGCCGAATTGACCAATTGTTTGCACCGTTCTGGACATTCATCCGCCTGCCTCGTTAATCGCAGCCTTCGTTAGGAAAAATGCGCGGATGTGCGACGGAAACTTCGTCTCGGTGAACGACAGGGCGGAAATGTCGTGGAAACGGGTGTAAGTGTCTCCTCGTGGCGGCCTTGTAGTTAGACAGCTGATCGCGCAGTGACATTCCCACGCTTGACGATCGATCGCCGTGCGCGTGCGAAAGCGCGGAGTAAACTCGCGACGACACGAAAATTATTTCCAAACAAATCCGTCATAGCAAAGCTTAATTCATAAGTAATCTTATTTAATTTGTCGAGTCTCTCTACATAAAGTATTATAATTTATACCTATAATTATATATAATA